ACCAGCCAGTGGGCAGCCCCGCCTGAGCTTATTGGCACCCACGAGTCTCCCCGCCTGCCCTCCCCTGTCCCGCCCCCGCTTATCCCCTCTCCCCCTGGCCGCACCCTCATCCCCCCGCGACCCTCGCGCCATGGAGGGCCACCAGGAGCGTTACTCCGAGCGATGCACTCACAGGCTCTCCGCTGGACCTGGGCTCCACCACTGCCCCGACCCCACAGGCCTCAGCCCCGGCGCCCGGTAGCAAGTCGCTTTCCTTCAGAAGGCCCCCGATGTCCAGATCGGTCACCTCCGTCCCAAACACCACCTCCGCGGGGCAGGGACTCCTGGCGGGCGGTGCTGCCACTGCTGGGCCACCAGTCTGCGTCCCGCCCACGCCCTTGGAACAATCCACCGGAGGCCTGAAGTCGGACGTGGACCTTCTGCTCCGAGAAATGCAGCTACTCAAAGGCCTTCTGAGCCGGGTGGTCCTGGAGTTGAAGGAGTCGCAGGCCCTTCCGGAGCTCAGGGGAACACCGGAGACCTCCACCTCGCGCTTGGTGGTGAGCCCGGGAACCCTGGAAGCCACGCCTGTGGAGAGTTGAGAGGCCAGCCACTCTCCCCAGGCTCATTCCTCCCGGGTCTCTCCTGTTTCCCCTCACCGAGAGGCCTTGTAAAGTGTGTTCCTTTGTTTTGCTGTGATTCTAAAGGAGCGCCCATGGTTGTGGCTAACGATTTCTTTTTTTGAGTTGGAGTCTCACGCTCCCCGCCACCGCAGCCCCGACCCGCTGGGCTCTGGCGATCCTTCCGCCTCAGCCTTCCGAGTAGCCAGAATTACAGGCACGCGCTACCACGCCCAGCTGATTTTTGATTTATTGTAGAGATGAGGTCTCACCTGCCCAGGCGGGTCTCGAACCCGTGGGCTCGGGCAATCCACTCACCTCAGCTCCCAAAGGTGGGGGATGACAGGCTGAGCCCAGCGGAAGGAATTCTTAACAACCACATGCAGGCAGAGCCCAGGTCTGTCCCCCTCCTTTGCTATGTATTTCATCTTTGGTGAGGAAGCGCTAGTTCTTAATGCTGTTGCGCTGCTTTTGAGAAGTTAGTAAAGTTTCATTTCTATTGTTGTTGCTGCTGTTGTGGTTATTATTATTATTATTATTATTATACAACATATGAGGAGTTAATGTTATTATTGTCATTGTTGATGCCATTTTATGAGGAGAGACCAAAAAAAGAAAGAAAAAACCTGGAATTTATTTATAAAAACTTGTGTATTTATTCTTGCATGTTTAAACTTCTGTCACCTTCAAAGTACTCCCCATTGGATGCAACACACTTCTTGAGACACTTTTTTCCACTGCTCAAAACAGTTTTTGAACTCGTCGATTTTGTTGCCTTTTAGTTTCGCCTCTTCCACGTCTGCAAGACGTTTCCTCTTTGAGGACTCTGTTCAGCCAGGGAAACAAACAAACAAAAAGAACATCGCTCAGGACAAAATCGGGTGCATAGGAAGGGTGGGGCACACAGGTCACGCCACTTTGGGTCCAAAACTGCAGAACGCTCAGCGCAGTGCAGGCAGGTGAGCTTCTAAATCACGCATCATGAAATGAGCAAAAAGCCTCTCACAGCCACACTAGCTGGTGCACCGATGTAGATGGGTTCCTAGAACACTCACCTGGTGGGGTAAGCCTGTACTACACAGGGCCCACTCTCCAGAAGATAATTGCAGGTTTTTGGGGGGTCCCCACTTATTGGTGGAGCCCACAGATCTTCTGAAACCGAAACAGAACTTCATGCTTCGGCGAAGGGAAGGCCCCAGTTTTTATCCGCTTTGTCAAGGAATCCTCAAAGGGATACAATCTTTGATTTAGAGGGCAGTGTAAGTCTGTGAGAGCCAGTGAGACTGAAACCAGGAAAACAGTTATATGTGCAGATTGCTAGGAGAACCAGGAAAACGGGCCAAGCTTGTGCCCTAGGGGGCAGCTGCTTACAAGGACAGCAAAGAGAGATGGTGGTGATGTGGATGGCGAAGAGAAGAAACTGCCAGGGAGAGGACAGTCAATGGTGGCAAACTCTCCAGAGAAACAGGCGGGTGAAAGGAAACCACCACGTGTGCAAGGCATTTGGGGGGGAGGGCGGGGCAGGAAGCAACCAGGGATGGCTCAGGGGCTGTAGCGGGCAACCAAGAAGAGAAAAGGCGTCAACGGAAGATTCCAACAACTCTGCCAGGAGGTCTGACTGCAAGGGGGCTGTGGAAGGCACCGGCAGTACAGGATGGCAGTGGGCCACTGAGGGAGGTGTTGGGGAAAAATCCTTGTAAAACGTCGATTAAAAATAAAAAAAGTAGCAGCAGACCAGAAATGCTTACAAAAGCATGGCATCTTTCATCGCTGTTTTAAATATGTGACTGAGTCCCAGAGAAGTAGAAACAGATCTGTCTGGTTTCATTTAACCCGTTAACCTCACAACTGGAAGTTGGCTTCAGTCTGTCTCTTGGGTGAGTAACATCTCCAACGCATATTATTTCTTAGAATTGTCCAAAAGTCCTTGCAGTCACAAATACCCACCTTCCCATGACTGTGACGCTGGATTGGCATTCTTCCATCGAGTCATTTTCCAAGGCGTCCGCACTGCCCTTTCTCAGGGTGGCTTTTCAGGATATGAGACCCCCAGAAGGGGCAATGCGAGCGCAGTGTGTGGACAGGTCAGACAAAAGTTACAGTGTGAGAAACGGGGAATTACCACCAAACATACTCACTTTCTTCTTTCTCACTGTGTTCATCCTTTCTGTCTGGTTCTGCTCTCACTTCCTAGACAGGAGGAGAAATATCAGATTGCTGGATTTTAAAAAGTAAAAAACTGCAAGCAGAAGCATGCCCTTCTCCTCTGGTTCTTAGCATTCTGGAATGCACCTGTGTTAAAATATGAAGAAAGAAAGCGAATATAAATTACGTATTTTCCAACTTAACTTAAAATGCATTATTTCTGCTTTGTTCTCTGGAATTCGTCTTATTAAGGGGACAGGTCCATGTGGCTTAATTCTGAATCAGTTTGTTCACGTCTTTGTAATTCAGTGGCAAGAATTTGTGTCTCCAGGCATCAAATTAATCTTTTTATTTTTGGACCGTAAGCAACACATACAAAATATAGACCTCTTTGTTTACCTAGTATGCAATGCATTCCCATCTTCTGATTCCACCAAATCTTAAATTTCTCCCTTTAAAGAAGAAGACTTTCTGAATGATTTTTTTTTTAACGCAGTATAACCTTTGTCCCAATATTGGAGTTGAGCATAATAATGGCATTATCCTCTGGCTGGTATTCATGTATATCAGAGCTCTTCATGGCCTCCCTCCAATCCAAACTCTGAGGCGACCAGCCTCCAAGTCCCTGCCTTCCCAACAATTTTGGCAACAGGTTAACTGATATTTTATGACTATTTAAGATATGTACCAAATCGTTATTTTTTTTTTTTAGAGTTGGAGTATCACTCTGTCACCCAGGCTGGAGTGCAGTGGCATGCTCCCGGCCACCACAACCTCAACCTTTTGGGCTCCCGCAATCCTTCTGCCTCAGTCTTCCAAGTAGCTGGAACTACAGGCACGCGCTACCATGCCTGGCTAATTTTTGATGTATTGTAGAGACAAGGTCTTGCCAAGTTGCCCAGGTGGGTCTCGAACCTGTGGGCTCAGGCAATCTACTCGCCTTGGCCTCCCAAAGTGCTGGGATTACAGGCTGAGCCACCGAGCCCGGCCCCAAGTCATTATTTTTAAGTATTGTTTTAGTACAGTCATTCTTTGTTCCGCTTAGACATTTTAAATCTTTATTTTTCCCCTAAACTGAACAAGAAAATAGTTTGCATTCTTTCTTTCTTTTTTTTTTTTTTGAGTTGGAGTCTCACTCCATCGCCCAGACTGGAGTGCAGTGGCCGCTCCCGGCCACCGCGGCCTTGACCTGCTGGGCTCCAGCGATCCTTCCGAGAACTCTCTCCAACCCCCCAGACTTTTGATGAGAATCTAATCTAGTCTTGAGGAGAAGGGAGGAAAGTCAAAAAGACGGGCTGTAACAATGAACCCGAACGTAAAGAATCTGGCTGCAAAAAAACCAATAGAAATGGGAGCTAATTTCTGGCAGCCCTCTCTTGCAATGCCCCCCCTCTGCCCCCCTGCGGCTTCCGGCTTCCTCTCCCAGGGTCTAATATCCCCCCCCGGAGGGTAGTGTTCCAGGTAGGCGGGATCCCTTCCTGGGGAGAGAGGAACCACCCAAGGTTGGAAGGACCCATTTCAAAAGCGAGTATGCTGGACCCGTCGACTGCACCCTGAGCAGGGGGGCCAGGCCTCTGGAGCAGACATGGAGCCCGTCCCTGGACCTGGACTCATGGGGGCTCAGGAAGCCTTCCCTGACGGTGGCCTTCGGGGCCTCACTTCTCCTGACGGCTGCAGCTTGACATCAGTGTCTCCCTCAGATGCTACAGATGCTACGGCCCCTTGTTCTTACAGCAGGCCACTCATCCTCACAGACTGTGGCCCCCTCGGTTGTAAGATCCGTGTGTCCACTGTAGTGAAACCCTCATAACATCTTGCACACAAGCACAGGCTCCATCTTCACCCACCCACCCCATGAGGCGTGAACGAATGAGCAATCGCCCACAGAGGCCAAGATTGCCTAGCCAAACCCAACGGACCCCCCAGCTTTATAAGCCACCCCTCTCAAAGAACATGTGAGGAAGCTCTTAGAGCCAAGGATGATCTGTCTCTCTTTGCCAGATTCTGACCACACCCCCTCGGGCAAGGGAAGCCCTCCTGTGTGCCTGTGAGGACCCACCAGGGTTTCATTCCCACCCTGGACTTACCAGCTGTCCTGCTGCCATTAGGGAAGGTCTCCAAGAGAAGTCTCCACTCAAGCTGAAGAGGCAAGATGAGTGACTTTAAATACCAGGGCATGTCCCGAATTCCAGGCCAGCAGGATTCCCGAGTGCCTCTAGAACAAAGTTGGGCTCCTTAGCTCCCTGCTTGGCTTTCATTGCTTCTGGCTGGAATGACCCCCTTCTCCCCTCTTTAAATCTACTCGTTGTTGGACATGGAGCTCTCCTCTCCCCCCAAAGTCCTGTCTCAATTCACTCAACAGAAGTAATCTCTCGCTTTTCTAAACCTCATCACACTTTGGATATTCTGTTTGTTGTTCATTGATTCACTTATCCAGTCAGTCAAATAGTACTTAGCAGAAAGCACTCTGCCTCACATCAGGAGATACAAAGGTGATGGAGCCTTCAGTCCTCTGGGTTTACACCCTGGGTCGGGGCTTCGCTGCTTGGTCTCTTCTGATAATGAGGAAAACAAGGGTACCACTCCATGGGGTGGGCTGATTAATGCAACATTCATTCTTCAGTGCACAGTGAGTGTTTTTTGTGTGCTAGGCAGTGTTCTGGGCACTCAGTGACCTGGTCAGGGCTGGACAAGGTCTCGTTCAGGATAACCTCAAGGGCGTGTGACCTACGTCTTTGCACAGGATCTCACACTTAGAAGGGTCCCTTTGGTTGAATGCCCTAAAGTCACCATCATGAAAGTTGTAACAATTTGTGAAAAACGGCTCCTGTATTTTT